CCTTCACCCGTGTTCCCAGATAATCGATTTTTGACGACAGCTGCAGTCTCTGATGTGTATGTTGCCAAAAGTTGTACCTGGGATGCAGGGATCCTGGTATACATATTGCGCTAATCGCCACTTCACTGGTACTGACCCACCTGTGATATAATAACTCCTGTAAGTAAAGGCCTCTCTCTGTCTTGGTGGTTTATTTATGGGAACATTTCTATTTTGTTTCGTCATGGGTGTTGATTGAACATATTTCACCATGCTTGCGAGCGTGGGGGGCTGGGGGGGGGGTTTCTGATATTAGGAAGCCACTGAAGCGATGCATTTTTAAATCTAGTTTAAAAACGTATTTATTTTAAACTGCTTTTTGTGTTTAGTTTATTGTCCTTCCCCCCACCTCCGATGAGCACGATTGGCTACGTAGGGTACGAAAGAAGTTCAACATTCGTAATACACTGTACTTGTACGCGCGTGCAGGGCCAGATTAAGGTTCTTGTAGGCCTTCAGTGATAACTTTCTACAGTTATTGCTGCTCATGTTACTACCGCCGCTCTTACTCGCTTATTTCACACGTACTTTGTCCAGGTTGTTACGAATACGTTCATTAGTAAAGTGTATACAAAGCCCTTGCCGTGTGGCCATAAGTAGGCAGGCAGCCAATGTAAGTCCGCAGTACACAACAAAATGTGATACTCCGACTGATGCCTCTGTTGTTGTGGAGTAACTCATACAGCCAGCTCTAGGATTTGGTGTTACATGTTATTTATGTAGTTTATTGTAAAAATTCGGTCACATTCCCTGTGATCACTGTTACGTTGCAATTATGGCTTTATTTTTTGGTGATTTGGAAAACGTTTTTTTTGGTTTGGACACGTTTGTTTTGTTGTAGTATGGCGTTAGACTGATGGCCTTAATCTAAGTTTTCTTGTTGTTGTTGTTGTTTGACTTGCATCCCACTGGGATTTTTTGCACACAGCGTTGGTGTACGGTGCTTTTTTCAGGAATATTTTGCTGTTTTTTTCTTGGATTTTCTATTTGCACAGTCACACATAGTCACTTTAAGATGTTTTTCTTGTTCGTGTTTTTGTTTGTTGTGGTTGCACCCGATGCAAGAGCCGAATGGCTCACAGGGCTATACCAAAAATAAAGAAACTGAAAATGAACTGAACTGATTATTTAGTCTGTGCCCTAATTCGATGGGAACGCGCTGTGTGCCACATAAGTCTCGAAAAGTTAATCTCCGGTGTTAATTTCTCTCACCTTGTGAAAAAAAAAGATTGACATGACTCTGCCTCTTTTGTATATACGCTATCCTTGCTATATAAATAGATTTGTTCGAGGATATATTTTGATTACATTTTTGTTATCATACAAACCAAAAAAATAGTCAAAAAAAATCGTAGGCCCTTTAGTTTTCATAGGCCCTAGGCACAGTGCCTATTGTTTGTATAATAAAAAAATGTAACCAAGATCTTCTTGAAAAAATATATTTACATAGCAAGGATAGGCACAGTGTATATATGGATAATACGGCGATGCGCGCGTGCAGTAAGAGCCCACGCTGTGTGCACCATGGCTCACGGAGACACAGGCTGGAGTCCTCCATCACAAAATCACTGCAAAGGGCCTGCTTCTTTCAGCCACAACTAACAGTGCGTGCTCTTCCCCCATCAAATAATACATTCATTTCTCTCGGACTCGTCTGCCAAAAAAAACCGCCCTCGTTTCCAACACATTCGGGATGACTTTGCGGCACTTAACTTTCTTTAATACACCTTGGTTGTCGACATGAATCCCCACAAGTGCCAAAAGTGCACGCAAAAATGCTTTCTGTTGGCAAATGGGTGCAAAATGTTTACGTATCATGGTCGTTTTCACCGAATTGCAGCTACTTGAACCCGATGTCAAGCTGTAGCCCCGTTGAAATCACCATGGGGGTTGTGCACGATACAGAAACGAGCCTGCAACCTGCAGTTCTCCATTACGTGGTATTGGATTTCAGCTCGTTGAACCAATTTGGTAAAGATTTGTGAGGTCTGTTTTGAATTACGGATTTTGGTGTACAAGCGAGCACCAGTCTCCTTTGTGAATGTGCTGTGCTGCTTCTGAACATCTGTGGACATCTGTGAAAAAGTGCCATATAGCTCATCGGATTCTTCTAGTATACATCCATATTCTGATTCTGAACGGGATGCGTTGGCTTCTCCAGTGCTCCTGAGAGACACGAAGCCACTGTCCAGCCACTGGACCAAGCCCCTGGCTGGCATGATCCCTGGTAAAAGGAACGAAATGGGCCCACTCTTCCTGTCCAATTTCACCTACTCTTTGTAACCAAGTGCCTGAGCCCCTCCAGCACTTGACCCGGAGTGCAAATGCACCACCTGCATCCTCGATAGCCATGCCACTGCCCTACACTGTGTTGCCAGCCATTAATCAACACAGCAGATATCTGTAGAAAGTAGGGCGCTTTGAGAAGGGACACCAAGAGCCGCCTGGACGTGCTTAATTTGGCAGCTGTATGTACGTTGAACTTATTTTGCACCGCATGTCGCCAACCGTGCTAATCCGAGGTGGTGCATGAAGTTGCACATTTTCTTAGGTGTTATACCTCAGAATAGATGCTCCCTTCTTCTAATTTTTCTCTTACACTACTGTTTGCACACATGCCATCTAAGTGACACGTGAACGCAACTACTTGTAATTAAATGATAGAACCCACGAGTAAATCACCCTAAACGCGCCGGACGTCATTAAATTACCTGAAGTTTGGCTGGGTTGAGCCTGGTTAGTAGCTGGATGCGCGACTACCACGACTTTGCCTCCTGTTACAGGTGTGGAGATGTATGTACTCATTGGCTAGCAATGAGTACAAATTAACTCCTGAAAGCATTTTCCGTGTCTTGGGTGGCTAAGTTTTTTGCCCACTTTTCTGTCCAGCATTTCGATAAACCCCAAGGAACAATCGGTTTATAATTGGATGGGACGTAAAGAGTATGAGCTCTGCTGTCATGGCCTGAATTTTTCCACTGAGTCCCTACTTAGGAAGGGAGTCGGGGTGGTGTGCATGGTGGCTGGATCATCTCAGTCTGTGCCAGGGCATTGGAGCAGTTCCTATTGTGTCTTAAATCTTTCCAATTGCCCGGGAAGTGTAGCATTACACACTTGAACAATCAATCAGTCCTTGACCCGGAGACTTGTCTTACATTCTTGTCTCCCTGATTTAATCTTCTGCTGTATGTAAACAAACCTGAAGTAGTCGGTTACATTTCCCCACCATATATGGAAATATTTTTTTTATTTGTCTGTTATTCTATATATATTTTAAAAAAACCTAACTTACCTGATTTCTCATTATCACTACCTTATAACCGCACACAATATAGAATGCTGACGTTCCAGTCAATGACATACTAAAATGAGTGAATTAAGACTCATTTCAGCCCTTTGTTAATCCACTTGCTGGATGAATGCCTCTCCACGTTGCGTCAATCATGGGGGTTGTTTTGTCCATACTTCACCACGCTAGTCAGTGCGGCTTGGTGAAGTGGGGGACCCAGGGTGGTCCGGTTATCCCTGGATACTGTGGCCAGGGATACAACTCAAGTCTTCCGAGTTCACAGTGCAGTGTTTTAACCTTTGTGCCACTACTCCCCTACCAATGGCCTACCATACTATATTCTAATATACGTATATACATACATTTATTTATTTTATAATTGAGTGTTACAAACAAAACTAGTCTTTTTTATTGTACTTGCATACCACTACTCATACAGTCCCTTCATATCTGTAAACATTGTTATTTTATAATTTTGCTGAAAGCTCTGCAGGATTCCAGATGACTTTTTTGCATGCAAATATTACCAATACACATAAATACGCCTCGGTACATCGAGGCATTTACATGTAAATCCACTCTCAGCGTCGTCGAACACTTTAAAATATGATAACAAAGGAACTTCACGCAGCTTATGTCAAGATCATAAATCTACGGGTTCTACAAATAGTGGTGGCCAGGTGAGGAAGCCATGTACAAAAAAACGAGATTAAACTAGGGACACGCTGAGTGGCCCTTGAGGCCCCGACTAAGTCGATATGTCTAACTAACGGCCTCAGGTTCGTTGACACGACATGCTGAAGTGCTAGTCCCACGGTGCTGCAGGCCGTTTGTGGGTGTGCGCGCTGATGAAGAGGTGGAACGGAGGACTCGTTTGTGGGTGTGCGCGCTGATGAAGAGGTGGAACGGAGGACTTGTTTGTCAGGCAGGGCTAATTGAGACGTTCTGAGGGTGACGCAGATAATCTGCAATGTGGTGGCTGCGTGGGAGCTTGTCTCCCCGCTTGTAGATTTTGGGATTTTAATGAAGCACTGAGCCAAGCCCCATGTTGGTGTCTGCCATTTGAAACAAACGAGGAATGTGAGCGATGTCTGCTTGAGACCTCTTCACTATACATCCTCCACTTATTACCTGACAGTCTGTTACAGTGTTTTCGTGCAAGTGCTTGTGCATTAATCATGAAACGTGCGAATAAAAAAAATATTATTTAATCAGCATACTCATTGATTATCATGACGGTTTGTAAGTGAAATTTGACATGCAGGCATTTGCGACAAATATGATTCATAATAGATTTTTGGGTCAGGTCGCGTACGGTTTATAATTTGCAATGTGACCCCTAATATTAACCAAGTAAATAACGTGACCGCAAATAAAAAATGGATGTGGAACAACACTTCAAAGAGACCGGCCTGTTGTCGTACATTTTGATTTTAAAAAATCGTGATATATTCCTCTTTCTTAATGGCATTTTTATTCCCTTGCATTTTTCAAAACAAAAGAATGACATTACTGAAGTAGCAGCTATAAATACAGCGCCATCAATTTGACAAATGCGATTTTAAATCGATCGCCGGAGCCACCACGTTATTTTCTTCAACGCATTTGCGGTTCTGTTGGGGTTACTTGGTGTCTAGAGAATAAAGTGGTTTTCCTTTATTTGTTTTTCCAGCGTCGCTGCTCAAGGGGCTGAAGCACGCCAACATCGTCCTCCTGCACGACATCATCCACACGCGGGAGACGCTCACCCTGGTCTTTGAGTATGTGGTGAGGCTACCCTCACCGCGCCACCACCCCCTCGTCCTGGCCCCCCTCTCCCTCCCCCCATCGCTCCGTGACATTTCGCCAAAACGCAGCCACATGCACCACCACCACCACCGCTCCCTTCGCCCAGTGTTGGATGTCCTTGACCACTGTTCAAAACTTACAGTGGCGATATAATCAGAAAAATAAATGTAGGGGTGACGGTGCAGTCCTGCAAATTACCGTGCTCACACCACTGATTGCAGAAGAGCCTCCCAGAGCCCGTAAGGGCTCTTCCAGAATAATAAAAACAATAGTAATACTACTACTTTTCATCCACTTTGTCAATCCGCTGCTGGATGAAAGCCCCGCCATACCGCGTCATTCGTGGAGGTTGTTTAACCATACTTCATCATGCTGGTTAGTGTGGGTTGGTGTAGGGGAAGGCAAGGACTGGTGGTTTAGATATCAGTGGCCAGGAATTGAACTCGGGTTGCCGAGTTTACAGCGCAGTTCGCTAACCACTGGAAGAATATGCAGTGTCGAGTTTAACGATTCACGCCCCTTGCTAACCTATGAAATGTCACGATGGAGGGTTCCAAAGTCAACCAATAATTGATTCTCATCATCATCTCGTTACTTGCTACTCTTTGTCTTGTTTGATTTGTTTTACAACTGGCTCATTTGTACAGTTTTGTTTCCCCTATCAGCCTAAATGTAACGGTAGCATATATTGTACTTAATTAATTTTTTACATGCACAATTTTACACGCATGTCATGAGCATAATACACTCCTTTCATCCATGAATCACCTTAACGTGCCTAACAAAGATCATGTCATATCATTGAGTCAAACATTTATTGTATCTTTTAAATACGTGGTAATTTTTTAGCATAGAGTACTAAAATGTATTAAATGTGTGCATATCTCTCTGTCTTTATGCGTGTCTGTGTGCGCATGTGTCGTTGTGTGTGTCATCGTCTGTGAGTACATATCTGCGTGTGTGTGTGTCTGTCTGCGTGCGCGCGTGTGTGTGTGTGTGCATCTGTGTGCGTGCCTGTGTCTGTGTGTTTTTGTGTTTGTGGATCTGTGTGCGTGCCTGTGTCTGTGTGTGTTTGTGTTTGTGGATCTGTGTGCGTGCCTGTGTCTGTGTGTGTTTGTGGATCTGTGTGCGTGCCTGTGTCTGTGTGTGTTTGTGTTTGTGGATCTGTGTGCGTGCCTGTGTCTGTGTGTGTTTGTGTGTTTGTGGATCTGTGTGCGTGCCTGTGTCTGTGTGTTTTTGTGTTTGTGGATCTGTGTGCGTGCCTGTGTCTGTGTGTTTTTGTGTTTGTGGATCTGTGTGCGTGCCTGTGTCTGTGTGTTTTTGTGTTTGTGGATCTGTGTGCGTGCCTGTGTCTGTGTGTGTGTGTGGATCTGGGCAGCGCACCGATCTCTGCCATTACATGGAGAAGTACCCTGGAGGCCTGCACCCTCACAATGTGAAGGTGGGTGACGTCTCGAGGAGCCACGCCACTTGGCTCTTCTCCTCCTTCTCCTCCTCCTCCTTCACCTCGTTCCGAATGTAAGGGGTCATCGGCGGCTCTGCTCTTCATTCTCCACTCTGCCCTGTTTGGGGGCGTCTTCCTGCCTTAGACCAACGCTCGCCATATCTTCCCAGATCTTATCTCTCCGTCTCATGTCTACCCTGCCTGTCTTCTGACTCTTGCCTTGCACGTCCCATCAGCAGGACTGTCCAGCCCACATTTTCTGGATCTGTCCTCAGGATGAGTCTCCACCACCTCAGCTGCGCTTCTCTCATCTGTTCATTGTGTGCTGTTACCTTCATCGTTTATCTAGACTTCTCATTCCTAATTCTATCTGCTCTTTTTTTTTCTCTATGTGCAACATCTGTCCCTCTCTTCTTCGCAGTGCTCGCATTTATCCATTTATTTATTTATTTAAGTCTGTCACCACCAACGAACGTTAAAGCGATATGTTAACCATGTTTACACGATCACTCTCACTGAGTGTAAACAGCAAGGTGGTAAAACAACAACAACAATAGCAGTGTTGCTGCCCCACATTTAGCCATCCAGTATTACCGTGCGGGCTGAGTTTCATTTGTATGCCAGTGCTGTTGAGCGCTCCGATGAACTACGTGCGACATCCATGGGCATATACCAAACACACTTGAGCAGAAATTTTCCATGGTTTAGTTTTCACTGAAACTTTTCCATTCGCTGAACAGAAAGAAACAGAATTGTACGGCATATACCAGTAAAAAAAAAGTAGCTATATTAGCAATTGGATCATGAAATGCAACTCGAGTTTGTTCCGTGTAAAAGTGTATGAAGTTATAGATTATGCAGATGTGGTTGTTGATTCGCCCAGGAATATATCGTTTGGTTTTCTTTTCATTTTTTTGGTGGAGAATACGAATGTGTAACAAAACAAAGTACAGATTTCAAGATTCAGCATTCGAGACTTCCCTTGGATTCGCATGCTCCAGTTCCCATGTTATGATGAGAAACAAATGTTGAGATGTGAGATAACAAATCCATTCCATAGCCCTGGTGCATTTTCACAGACATGGGAAAGAGTCCTTAACACAGCAAGCTGCCAGTATTATTAAGGACTTTACCTAAACATTAGCAACTGAAATCGTGCCAAAACAAAACATACGTAGACGGTATATGTATACACATCATACACACACATACACAAAGAATGTGCAATTAACATTACGGCTACGGAGTCAGCTGAATTTCTAGGCACATGTGCGCACACTGTACACTGCGATCCCAAGAGCCCCTTCCATTAACCGGCAGAATGTCTCATAGCCATTTAAAAGTTATAACTTGTTTAACCATAAAAAAATTGTTGTAAATTTTATCCAGTTAAATGTTTGCAGTTTGTTTTTTCGAATAAGCAACTCTTGCTGTACAGTAGTGTAAACAAAGTAAGCTGCTCATTGTGGTTCCGATAGATGCTTCAAGCGTGTGCAGCGAAACGTTGGATATTGGGCCGTAAGGACCTGCCGCGGTACAACCCAGAAACGCAGCACACCCGCGAATACATCCGCAGTGGTGTAAATCCATTTGACCAAGGTGTTGAGTTTCGTCAAAAAGATAGAAAATGGCACACCGTTGTGGCATAGAAATGGAGTGTGAAGGCTGGTGCAACTGCACCGCGGCCCACGGGCTGGAAGGGCCAAGGGGCCCGAGCTATGAAGAGGGGGGGGGGGGGGGGTGGATGTGAAAGGTGGCCCCACTTCATTACTTGCACCAGGGCGCATGCCGACCATGCTACAGTGTGGTCAAATAACCCCCATGACCCACATGGCATGGGAAGGCCCTCATCCAGCGGTGGATTGCCAAAAGGGCTTTACAAGAGTATGCACATCATCATTATCATAATTTAAGTGAAGATAAGAACCCACCGAGATGTGTTTTACTGAAGCAGACCTCGAGGACAAATAATATTCGTGAACAAAAAAATATGTAACACCATATGCTCAAAATACATCACAAAAACGTAATTTGATAATTAAATCAAGCATGCACAAAATAATAATGAGATAATGCAACACTGAGCTTTTGTTGCACTGAATATAAAAACCGTTCCGGAAAATAATGCATTAAATCAGTTAAGTCACGTAGGTAAAAAATAAAGTAAATAAATACATAACCAACTTAATTTAGTTGTTTTTTCATTTAATTTTTATTTTATACTTTTTACCTATGTGACTTTACCGAAAAAACCAAAGAGTATGAATCTTTGCAGTCACGAAAACTTCAAATCTAGCATTAAATCAGGTCGTGTACAGGTACAAGAGATGGATTGTCGCAGCATCATGAGAGATGACGACGGCTTGGGGAATGCTTCCTCTAGCTATGGTCATGGCTGAAGATGATTATGATGATGATGTACATTTTAATTAAATAACAACTAATGTAAACATGCCTAAAGGTGGCTATATCAGTATCAATGCCAAGCTGGTCATATTGCGTGCGCGTCCCTCTGCACAGCCGTGGGCCCTGTAATGTCGCGACGTCGAGGCTTGGCTGGGATTAGAGCTGGGACGATTGGTCAATAAAGTTGACTTAACGAGTACAAAAGTACGATCGACTACTTTATTGGCCATCCCAGCCAATCCTTCACGAAATCGACTGCTTTATCGGCCACATCCAGCATAACATGGCTGATTATGCCTATGAAGTCATGAAGCACCGTCCATTACCTCTCATTCAGAGACACATGTGGGAGCAGGAGACTTATTCCCAACCATTCATGTTCTATACAATTGGTCAAGTGATCAATCCGATCATTTCTAGAGTAATACATCAATACATTGCCTACATTTTTGGATATGCCACTCGAGCTGAGACCCAGGGTCCTCACCCCAGCCCCGGTCCATTTGAAGTCTGCGGTGGTCACCGCAATGCTCCGCATGGCTGATGTCTCATGTGTTTCCTGCCCAGGCGAGTGTGACAGCCAAGGTCACTCGGTCGCCCTGAAACATATAAGTTGCATTCACTGAAAGGCGGCCCCTGTCTGTCACTGCTGACCGATATGGAGCGGGCGCATTTCATGATTCATTTCCTCATTGACATTCGAGAGCAGTGGGCACGGCGAAAAACCAGATAACCGGGGAGAGGGCGGCGGTGGGAGAGACACAACTTACTTGCACAGTGCGGGTATCGACAACAACGCAACGCGATCAAGATAAGCGTAAAATGTAATCGTCGTAAATAAAGTGCGTGGCGCGCGGGGGACTAACGGCAGTCTCGTTTCTCATTCCGCCTCCACCCCGAACCGCCATGATCCATGCTCACGCCGCCACTCATCCCTTCCACCGCAGCTCTTCCTGTACCAGCTGCTGCGCGGCCTCGCCTACATCCACCAGCGCCGCATCCTGCACCGTGACCTCAAGCCGCAGAACCTGCTCATCAGTGAGACGGGGGAGCTCAAGCTGGCTGATTTCGGTGGGTTCCGGTGGCATCGGTGGGCGCAGTCACGCCGCTGGATGCACGCCACCGTGACGTGACGGGTGACCTCTATCGACTCTCCCCCCCCCCCCGAGCCAGTGGCCAAACTCCATTTCTCGTGATCCACCACTGTACAGCACTGCTCCAAGTTCACCGGTTAACGTCAGTTCAAATACACATGAGGTGGTTAAGTGCTGCATTTGCCTGATGATTGCTGAATGCGTCACACCCAATCTTAGGGAATGCTTTCTATTATGATTGGTCTGTATCATTGCAGCGCAATGCAATTTGGATTTTTATAGCATCTAAATGCGACCACTTCTCAAGAGGTTGTACAGAAACAGTGGGCGTGTTCATTTAGTAGAGATAGGCAGTCGTTCATGAGCAGAGGGAAAATGAAGAAAGGTCTTCAGCCTGGACTGGAAACGGAGAGTTGAGTAAACAGCACAGATTGCGGTGGGAAGACAGTTCCATATTATTGGGGCAGTCAGGTCACAACCGACTGAAGGCTGAGTGGAGGCTTGCAACCACCCACACAAGAACTCTATCTTAACTTGATTCAGCACTTTCTACATCATGTGTACCACGCGCATACATACACACACACACACACAAATATCTACATTAATTAGATTCAGTGCTCGGTATGTTACGTGGGATGTGTTTATAAATCAGCGGGCACATGCAGTAACAACTTAATCTGTATTTGAATGGATGTAAATTGATATACTCTGAGAGACGTATTGTGGTAGGTCACCCTGAGCCAACGCTGCTGTCCTTTATCCAGACTGACAATTCAATTAGCATTTCCTAGCTTGAGGAATGTTGTTTAAACATGTGGTATAACAACAGTTGGTGTCCTATGGAAGAAATCGCCCCTGGCATAACAATGTGGAATTTTCTCTACGGACTCAGGCATATAAACAGAGATGAGCAGTTCTTCTTCATATGGCTGATGATGATATAGAGCAATAGCCATAATTTTACACTGAGGTGGCTGAGCCAGATAGTTGCATCAGGAGTAGCCGAGCGGAATCGCTGTGATCCCTGCCTTCCCATTTGTGAATCGGGCATTGCGTCGTTTTATGTTCGATGGTCTGTTCTGGGTGATCACGGTAGCACAATGGAGAGTTTTTTTTCGTCCACTTATGCATAAAGTGACTGCATTTGCTATGGTTTGTGCGGATTCGGTTTAGGGTGGCACGTAAGCTTCACAGAAGATCGTAGCCAAGGGATCTTCTGCGTCGGGTCCTTCACAAGGTGTTACCCCCCACACTTGCTTGGGTTGGAAACCACTTTGGTTTTTACTAAAGTGTATCGCCGATGACCAAATCACTCCCACTGATTTTGTTAGATCGCGGAAGCTGAGCAGGGATTGATCCTAGTTAGCTCTTGTTTGATGGGAGATTGCTTGGGAATACCAGGTACGGTATCTGGGGGGTGGCAGTACAGTACAGCAATGCATTCTTTATTATATCTGTGTACATGCTTTGAGTGTAACCCACTCGTATGGTGGATGTATTCTATTGTCTGGGTACTTTGGTTTCCTCCCAGGCAAAGTCAAACATATGTTAAGGAAATTGGACAAACATTACGATTCAGAATCCCGATGAGTCTTTCCTGGGTGTATATAGGGCATTATTAATATTATAACTTCGTGAGGAGATCTTCTTCACGTATTTGGTGAATAATTTAATTATTTGCACAATATGCCTCATTTTCCCTCTTGCTCTTCAGAAGGTGCGAGTTCAGCCGAATGTGTGTGCAGCATCGCCGTGCGTTCACAGAGCTGTTATTTAGGGTCAAAATAGAAAACGCCTCTTGGTTATTGGTTGCCGAAAAAAAGAGCAAAAATACTGAGCGCCGAGAAGGATAAAGAGGGCCCTGTTCTGCGAGGCGAATGAACAAACAAACGAGCGATTGAGCGGGCGAGCGATCGTGGGGTCTCAGGTTTCCAGGAAGCGAGTTTGGGCCTTCGCCGATGAAGGAGGCTCCACAAAGGCAGGATTGAGCCCGCAGCGTCCTATAGCCCCCCCCTACACAGCAGAACGGTGGGGACATTTTAATGCTTCACAGTAATGCTGCCCTGAAGTAATGGTTGGCACACTGCGCTTGCAAATTCAGAAATCGCCGCTTCGATCTCCTCGCGTCACAGTTGATACAAGAGACACGTTTCTTAATTGTCAGTATAAATGCATACACCACGGTTAATCGACGATTGGCAGAGTCAGGTGTGGTGGGGTAGTGTGGATACTGCGTCTGACCAGTGTTAAAGAGTAGGCCAAATACTCTCTCTAGGAGCTCTCGAGAGCCTGCTCTTGTTGACCAGGCTCTTGTTGACGGCCCCCTGCCAGAAGTGACGTCAGCAGGAAATTGCAGGTATTCAGCTTTGCCTTTTAGTCATTAATTCTCTACCCAGTGTCTAAGGTAAACGAATTATGCACCAACTGCTTAATTCTAAGAACCAAAGAGTAATTCCTGCAGTCACGAAAGATCCAAATCAAGTTTAATTGTAAATATTTAGAAATTAAAAGTTTTGAGACATCACATTATAAATGTCTGACCATGAGTCCACAATCTTGGTCTCGCTTGCTCTCTCTCCATATTTTTTTTGTTCATGAACCATTGCTCAATCCGTCAGCGAACTTAATGCGCGTGATTTAAATTCCAGGCAGCATTAATGTTCGTAAATTTGCACACATGATCCCTTGTATAAAGGTGTCAGTTTTGGTGCCAGATAAAAGAGTAAAAACCTATTAATGTTCGTAAATTATTTTCGGTCTTTGTTTTTCTCGGTCGCTGCCAACGCAGCCCACAAAAGTTTACGTGCAGTAAATATACACTGAGGAAAGAGATTGCTGCATTTTTATTCTTCACATTGTTCATAATAATGCGGATATTTTAATGCAAATAGATCATGTAAATCATGTAGATCATGTAAATCATGTAGATCATGTACAAATGTGTTATTTCAACCTGCATGAGATATCACTATAATTGTTTTGCCAATTTTAGAAATTTCCTGTAAATTACTCCATTGGGATTATACATAGCAATCACTGACCCCTACTGGCAGGCGAATGGCATTTGCAGGCCTCTGGGTGCTGATTCACCTTGTTCCCACAAGGGACAGCTGCCACTAGGGGTGCCCATTCAAATTTGTTGAGAAGAGAGGTGATGTAAATTGCTATGAGACGCCCTGGGTGTATAAGGAAGCACTATATATTAAAAAAATCATAATGAACTGTGTGGTGCATCTCATGTGCTACCGCGACACGCGCTAATGAGCTGGCTGCCGTGTTCCTCGCGCGCTACTGCTGCTGGTGCTGTCCGCACGTCTGAAGGTTTGGCTCGCGCCAAGTCGGTCCCGAGCCACACATACTCAAACGAGGTGGTGACGCTGTGGTATCGGCCCCCCGACGTTCTGCTTGGCTCCACGGACTACTCCACCTGCCTGGACATGTGGTGGGTCCCACCACCCAGCCTCCACACCACACCACTACTGCTCTGCTGCCCTTCTTGCCAGCACACTCCATGGTTTCTCATTTATTTCCCCGTGTGTGTGGCGCAAAATGTATCACACATGGCCTCTGATTTATCTGTCAAGGAGATCTTTAGATCTTGCCTGCTATTGGTAGCGTTTGCAAGCTATTGAGTCTGGAGAGAAAGTGCTCACTTTTGCAGGGGTTGCACTCATCTCACTCTGTGTCCCACTTCTGTCATGTGCTGCGCACTTTCTTACGCCGGGATGGCAGCTCCCATTTCTTGCAGGTCACCGCACCACGGCTTAATCACATAATTGCTCATCTCTGTGCAGCCGTGCGGAACGCCTCTGTTCGTTGTGCACATTCTGCAATGCCAGGGCCTGTGCCAGGACACGGGTGGCTCTAAGGTCTGAAGAATCACATTTAATTGACCACTAAGGGAATGAAACTGGGGACTAAAATGGCCAAGGAAATTTACTTTCAAAGAGTTATTTGTCATTTTATGAAATTAAGTTGTTGGCTCTTGACACCTGTGTGTATTCCTGTATATGCTTGTAAACAAACAATTTGCAATAACAGGTCTTGTGACCTGTTAAAAACGTATTAATTCCACTGCTGGATGAAGGCCTCCCCACACTGTTGGTCATGGAGGTTGTTTGACCATAAGGTTAGCAGGCTTGTGAGCGAGGGTTGGTGAAGGGTCGTACCACTGATGTTAGCCATGGCCTGGAATCAAATTCAGTTGGCTGGATTCATAATGCAGTGTGCGAACCACTTACAAATGTCGGTACTGTGACTCATGTGAGACAAATATATTTGCATGTACCAAACGCCACCAGGTCTTATGAATCGCAGTGGGATGTCATCTGAACAAATACAATGTACATTGAATTATTGTTGAATTTGTGCATTCTTCACTGAGTCAAAAGATGAAACTCAACTAAACCCAGTTTCCTGATCTTCTATTTGTGACCACAAGGGACAGCATTAGTTTTAATTGTCATTTGTTCTAAGGCATAGCAGTAATGAAACATGTTCGTAATTGAGGATTGCATAGAATGGCTGATATTTTTATGCATACAAAGGATGTCCTCCAGTTCTCAATTTCCACTGCAACCAGAGTGCATTGGTAAAGCTGAGCTTACACATTTGCCAGGCAGTACTCTTACTTTGAAATTCACAGACGATGACAAAATCTTTCGCTGTGGGATTGAGTATTAAATATAGATTCCCGGCTTTGTCACAAATTAATTATCCAATACTTTTACTTTTTTGATAAGGGACTCTGTGCCGCATTATACTAATGACTGTATAATTTATTAATGTAATTTAACAAGAAGTTTCATGTTTGGAATGTACTTTTTTATGAGATGGAACAAGAATAAATTATTTGCTTGTAAAACACTGTACTATCGGTGTTGTGTCTGGAATAATCGAGTAATAGGTTGGGGCTTTTCTTTTTATCATATCTACGGTGTTAATTGGAAAGTGCAAGGATAACGGTACAGCCCTTAAATTACTTGCTCATGCCAATGGAGGTAGACGGACTTCCCTGAGAGGGAGCACGAGAGCCCCCTTCTAAAGGGTAGCTTTGGCCTACTCTTTCACACTGGCCAGACACCTTAGAATAAGTGAGGGGTGCCTACACTTTACCCCACCACATGCGACGCTTCCCATCGGCCAACTATGATGAGCCCATTTCTACTGTTGGGGTGTGAACAGAAACGTTCCCATTGTTTACAGCAGCATCGCCTTCATTTAGATGTAAAAGTCAACCCATCACCTGGTTGGAACTTGCATGCATAGAGCTTGGAGGGTTGGGGAGGAGGGGGCATTACGAGTGAAGTGGCAACGTGACAGCATTAGTGTCACCGAGTGGAGGGGGATTTAATTCCTTATACTTCCATTACGTTGGATAGTAAACAACAACACAATCAAACGATTGTACATGCTCCCTTCCAATGTTGTTTATATCCAGAGAGCGGCGCATGTAATGAGCTGCTGCCTGGGCTGTTAAATCCATCTCCCGTCCTCCCTGCCGACCTTCCATCTTGCTCGACACAATTTGCCGACGGCTTCTTTGCAGCCAGAGCAGTGGCCTTATCTATTAAATGTGCAGGCCCTGCAACTGCGCCGGTGCTCACGGGCCAGAGGGGCACAACAGGCGCTGGGCTACTTAGAAGGGGGGAAGGGGAAATGGGAACTGAGGGTCATAGTTCATTGCTCGCGCCAGCATCGATGCCAATCGCATTACGTAGCCACTGAGACAGATGCTGAGCGCTAGTGAGGAGCCGCAGGGCAGCCGCTTGCGCAGATTGGACTCAACTTTTGGAGATTTTTTACATGTCGTCTGTGAATTGCGGTTCCTTATTCATTTGCGCTATAACATATTATATTGTGACGTATTACCCGCCGTGACATATGGATGATAAATCTGGGCATTGGCAAAAAAAAATGGAACTTATGCTGAAAATAAACATGGAGAGGTGTATGCTTGAAATTACGCTGAGAGACAGGAAGAGGAACCCATTGATTCGAGAACACACACGAGCAATGGCGGAGCCAGGATTTTCAGGTAGGGGGGCAACCCCTCCAGAAATGAAAAATGATAGAGGAGTTATTAGTAAGTAAGGACTTGTCCCTTGCTTTTTATTCGACGCGTGTGCGGCGATGGCACAGCCATCGATCGAGAGTCGAATTTGAACCGTGTGTGATCGGCCTCGCGCTCGCTGAAGGTGTTGATGCCTTCAGGGAAGTCGTGGACTCTGTATACGCAACTGCGCACAATTCTGTGAGTCACTTATAACTGTTTTGCCGTTACTTATTGCCAGTTATGGACTCAGACTATTGTCCTATCATCTCATAGAGTCCCTGGCACGTAATAATATGCTACACAGTGGCAGGGGGGGTTGTAAAATGCCGATTTATTACTAATAAACCCCAATGATCCGATCGAAATTAAGGATTTCGATCGGATCATTGGGGAGGGCACGTGCCACCCCCCACCCCCCCCCCATTGGCTCTGCCAGTGCACACAAGTGAGAAACGTGGTTTTGACTGTTCATAAAAGTAGATGGGTAAGGGCAGGATATTTTATTGGAAGGGATGATCGCTGGTGGTCGAGACTAGCGATGCAATGACAGCCAAAGGATGGAGCAACAGGACGGTTTTTTTCCGCGGAGATGGTACAATGAAATCAGCTCGTATGCAGAAGGCCGATGGGTTGTTACATCACGAGACTGAGAAACGGCGAAGGCTTGGGGATGCTTTTATCCAACAGTGGATAGATCATGGCTGATGACGACGATGATGAGTAGTAGATCAGACCCGTCTTTTACTCTGTCGCCAAAAATGACGATATTCAATTTGTAAGGGGTCAGTATTTTGCGCTTTCTCTTTTTATTGTTCGATAAGCAATGCAACTTTATTTAATATAGCGCTTTTCACAATAAAATTGTGACAGAGCTCTTCACACGTAATCATAACATTACATCAATACAATTTGAGATGCACAAACTAGTAAAATGTATAACAACAGTAGCTCGGGCTAGATCTGTATGCACGTGTAGCAAATGAGGGCTATTGTGCGCAAATGCATTTCTCTGTTGAAGACTCCTTGGTGTAAAGCTTTTATGACAGCGGGTTGCTTTCCATTGTCACGTGGCTGTGTGCACTATGAGGGCGCGTAATGAATGGATCTCAGTTTTTTTCCCATTTGGACTGGAGCGCTATTGTATTGGCACAGGTGTTTGTGCGCTGTGATGAAAATTGAATGGTAAAACAAATGAAGAAAATGCTTAGATTTTTTTTTTTGCATGGCGTCTTTGAAATCAATGTGGCGCCGACACAGTGAATCACAGCCGTTACACGTGGGCACATTTTACACGAACACACCACGCTGCTTTGAAAGGTTGCATGATGTGCTTTAGATAAAAATGAAAGATTTAATTACGTGCAAGGTGCTTATTGGATCTTACTCACCCGGTAAATAGAGATATTCTAATCATCATAGGTCGCGTCTGTGCTCATTGTATATATTAATGCCGTTGATATACTGCCGCCGTAATGTGCTCAGAAATATACGAACATGTTTATTCATTAGCTGGTATATCAAAGGGCGTAATGTCTCTGATATGCATATAATTTCAGTTTATGGATGATTTAAACCAAAAAAATCCCATTCCGGCCAGTTAAGAATTTTCCAATACATTGAGTCTCAGCAAATTGTTGTAGAAGTAATTTTTAATTCCCCATGTACTTGAGTCTCAAGTCTCTCTCTCTCAGGCGGGCCCTGCATTGGAATGTTTAGCCAAATCCATCAGTAAGTGTTTGATTTGTTGGAAGTAACCAGACAACCGAGAGAAAACACACACATATGAGGATGGCACTCAACCACTGCCGTTCCCTGGCAAGCACGACACAGCCCCATGCCTACAACACCTGGCAAGCACTGTTGGTCACCCAAGTATTAAACAAACTCAAAGCCTGCCTAACTCTAGATATCTGATGAGAATGGGGGCATTTAGGGCGATTTGGTCACAGGCAAGAATGACGACAGGTTTGGCCAGTGGTGGTAGGCATCTTGACATTTGAAAGTGGTCCAATGTGAATGTGTGCAATGGTTCTCGGTCTCAGGACACTACATTGTTTTACTTTCATTATTAAATTAACACCATCATTCCGCTTCGGTGCCGAAGCTGAACTTCAAAGCGGACGACAAAGGAAGGGCTTAAGTTACCAGCAGGGAGCAGAGGGCGGTTGGGGATGTTGGCGGAGCTTCGTAAAAGTGTGTCCTTGTAAGTCAGTCTTACATGAGCAGCGCAAACTTTTATTAACTCCTTGCCATCACGGACTTACCCACTCCCTGACTCCTTCCTTTGCCCTCCCCTCCACATCTCCTCAACACCTCATCATCCCATTCTCATCGTCCATCCCATCCCCCAGCTTTCCTTTTCTCCACGTCATCACGGGAGAAAACAGAAAGTGGGGTGAGGAATGGGGGCGGGGGGGGGGCACTTTCCCGTCCGCCTTCTCGTGCTCGTTATGACCCTGGGAATGTTCCACGCCGGAAGCCAGTTGCCGAGTGGCCATCTGTCTTTCATCAGGGTTCAGTGGGAAGAGTTTTGCTTTGTTTAGGACCTAGCGGGGGGGGGGGGGGGGGGGGGGGGGGGGTAGGGTCACGCTTTTTGGTTGCTCACGTTTTATTTCGTGACAATCCTCATTGCCCTCCACGAATCTTTGCTATTTTACATGTGATTAGAATTGCAATAAACTTAGTTTAACCATCGGTTTAGTCGATGGGTTGATTGCAATGCTCAGCTTGCCTTCGTGTATGTTGTTGTACAAAGACGAATAAGGCCTCCCTCTGACTGGGAGGTATCAGGCACTTATGATATTGATAATGACGAGTTGTGTATTACCGATGACCTTTGACTTAGACGTTTTAATATCACCAATTTTCACCATGCTAATATTATTGGATTTTCGACATTTCTGGACTGTGTTCCCTTCATATATATTTTTAAATGAAGAGTTGGGTTGAATGGTTTTGTAAAATGGTGAGATATCCAGGAAAGTTTTCAGGGGGGCTGAGGGGAGGAATTTGAGTATTTTGTGGAGTATTGAAATCCCATGGGCATTTTGTAGTTAGAATAATACACAACTGCGTAATAACAACACTGCATTTGAGTTTAGCTGTGGCTGAAGTGAGAACCACAAGGTGGCGGTATTGGCATTTATTGCTTTGCTTTTTGAACCAAGTCTTCCTTGACTGTACTCCTATAATAGGTTTTATTTCCATATGCAGTACAGTGCGAGCCACGTATTTAACTTGCTTTGCAGTATATGCAGAGCCCACGTGAGATTTAGTGGAGAATTAATGAAGCAACACGCGAGTGCAAACTCCCCTCGGCGAGAATGTGGAAGACTCAACAATTGTGCGACACATTTATACTTAACACGATCTAACCCAAAAGCCTTTATTATGAATAATACTGGTCGCGAAAGCCACCGTGTTAAAACGAATTGTGCGCTCGTGCTAACCAAATTATTAACATTATTCACGGTCCGTTACCAATCCACCGCCTCCTCTCCATATATCTCTCGGTCACGGGACTTGTTTGACACTACACTTCAACCGCGCGCTTATCGGTGCAGGTTTGGACACGTTGACCCCTGGCTGATGTTAGGCCCTGCGTGAGAATTCAACTCCGGGTTGGCTGGGTTCACGAAGCAACCCGTGCCGTCGCTTCCCCCATGCCCCCCCACGACCATTTCGAACATTTGGTCCAAACTCTGTGGATTGTGCCGTCGGCTGTCTCGTTGACTCTCGATTCGCTTGTTACACCCCTCCCCCCTCTCGCAGGGGCGTGGGCTGCATATTCGTGGAGATGATTCAAGGCAGTGCTGCCTTCCCCGGACTCAAGGACATTCAGGACCAGCTGGAGAGGATCTGGATGGTGAGAACCCCAAAGAAACGCGCTGGCCAAACGAGTCATGCAGCGCACTCTCGTGTTGCGGTGGTGGCATTGGTGCACGCACACGGCCTGGCGCAGTGAGTAAAATGTTGAACGTGAAGAGGGTGGGGAGTGTGCCCCACATTTTACCCCAATCGTGTGTGGACCTGCCGAGCCGATTAAGGTGCTGCACCTCAATCGGCTGCTGGGTGGACAAGCGGCGTGCGGTAGAGGTTGGATTTTAGATACTTGCCCGTTGTTAAACCTGCCTTGCCGGGAGATCAGATCGAACCGGCGACATCTGCATTGCGAATCCGGTGTGTTCACCATTGCATCGTAGCAGCGACCCGCTCGACGACAATACATTCTTTATGAATTTATCATTCCATTCCGTGTGCTCTTTCCTTCCACCCAACGTCAGTCACCGCTCTGTAGGACTTCATCGCTTCGTGGCGGTGCGCACCCGTCGCTGCCTGGCCTGTGGTTGCCACTCAGTCGGCGGCGTTGCTGCTGCATAATGTCGAGCCCGGAGATTGGAGTGTTTGAAACCGGTGGCCTGTAATTAAATTCGTGCCATTCATGCCCGTACCGTGTCAACCCATACGGTTCACCCCGTATTCTTGTACGAGGAAATTGAGTTTTCAGGTCCACACAGTGTACAGCCGTTTCAATACGGGCAAAACTATTTTTTTTGTCTATGTTTGTGTTTCTCCCTTGTGATGGGATTTTGTAGGATTAACGTTGAGAATTACAAGGGCACAGGGTGACCAATAAGGTCTGAATTGGTCTGTAATAAGGTAGCCACTGATAAGGGGTTGACAGGTATGCTGACCTGATGGGTGCACTTCTACCCCACCCCACACCCTCCCACACACGATGCAGACATGAAGGGAAATTTGGAGTAAATCAGCGCAGATTAAAGGGAGGTTTAATCTGCCAATACTATACTTTGATTTATTTTTTCTTGCATTTTAATTCCGTCTCCTGCCAATTACATCCCACTGTTGTGGTTATGACGAAATCACCCACCCGGTCTTGTCAACCCTCGGAAGCTAAGCAGATTTTGAGCCTGGTTTGTGCTTGGATGAGCGATCACCATGGACGTCGGGTTATGTCATGGGCACCTGTAGCACTGTGCCGTGTGGTGGTCAACAGAGGGCAGTTTAGCAAATGAAATGTTTGTTTTCTGCTTTCATTTCCCTACGTCTATGCTCCTCTCACCAACCCGCGCTGACCGGCAAGGTGAAGTATGGTCCAATAACTACCATGATGTGGGGAAGCCCTCATACAGCAGTGAATTGGACACTCTTGCTAAAAGCAATATAGCATCACCTAATGTTATAACAGTCTGTATAAGATCGCACTAAAACTATTCAAAACTAAACTTTTTTTTATTTTATCAGGTAAGGTCCACTTAGCTATATAGCTCTTTTTCAGAAGCGGCCTGGCCACAAATGATAGCTCAACGAAGTGACTTATCACGTGCAAATATATAGGAGCCAAATACTTTAAACACGTGTTTCCAAATCTGGAGGGAAAACCCGGAGGACCCGGAGAGAAAATCCACGCAACCACGGGAAGAATATTCAAGGATCGGGATCAGATCCACAACCTCCTGTATACCAGGCGAGGGAGTTAACATCTCACCACCGTGGGGTACTAGATGGTGTGCCGTCTCGATTGCACTGCTGTAAATGCGTTTCTCCCATGCCAATTTTTTTTTTATTTGTTGGCGTTCTGAAAGCTCAGATATGCCAATGTAAGTAAAAACCCATATGCTACAGTCATGGTAGACTGAGCTGAGACCATCAACCAAAAATTTTACCAAATACTGATTCAAACAGAAACTGATTAAACCAGAATCTAGAAACTGGTTTAATCACTCGTGGATAACCAATCAGTGGCGTGAACTCAGTGTTTTGACGGGATTCTTCTTCTGTGCCATCTGGCGACTTATCCAAAGGTTTGAATTGCATTGTTGCCAATTTATTTTTGCACATATGCGGGATCAACGGAGCGTGATGCTGCCCTCTCCTGGTATATGACTATAAAACCCAGAAGGTTTCTGCCGTGAGACCAAAAAATATTGAAACCTCACCATGTGGCTGGTAAATCGAAAACGTTTTTTTTATATCTTAACTACATTTTCTACGTTGTTACGTTGCAAGTTTGTTCTATTATAACAGCTGTAATGTATTGTGCTATAGCTTCTGTGTTTTTTTATGCACAAAGGAAAACTATCATTTGAGACTGAATATATTTTGCAAATATTGCCGCTGATAGATAAAGAAATATTTTTATTCTGGAAATATATACTGTACACACAACAGACACACACACATGCGCACAGTAAAATAAATTACAGTGCTTCATTTCAACCGACGGGGGGAAAAAAAGAAATTCTACTTTGAATATAAACATGAAAAGCCATTTTAGATATGACCACCCTTAAATTAATTTCACCAGCAGCCATCATTTCATTTACTGAAGAGCGGGGCCATCATACTGGATTCATTCTATGATGACAAAAGCCAATAATGTGAGCGTGTCTCTATCCCAGGTGCTGGGGACCCCGAGCGAGGGAAGCTGGCCAGGATTAAAGTCGATGCCTCATTTCAAAGCAGGTCAGGAACGGCGTGTGTCGTTTGGCTGCGTGTGTCTGTGTCGCGGCGCTCCCACTGCATTCTGGTCTTGTCACAGATCAATCAAGCATGATACACGCATTGAGTCGTGTGTGTGTGAGAATCACAAGTTTAGATTAGTGCAAAAACATATTTTACACAGGTGGAAGAGTTAGACGAAACTATTGAGACAGAATCAATGAGACAACCAAGGAGATAATTGGTGCTACACGAAGAGAGAATAACACGGCACAGCCAGTAAAAAATAACACATTCCTGCGGAGAGAGCTGGTAGGAACGTTGGGTTGCTCGGTCAATGGCCAGGGTCAGCGGCGGCGTGGTGTATTCCGCAAATATGCCCGACTGTGAGGGCGGGCACAAGCCGGCGTGAGTAGGTTAAACGTTGAGTTTTATAAGGGCACCACGGGGTGACCAGCCGCTCCCCACTCAGCCACACCCCTTCCACCTCCCACTCAGCCCCACCCTCCCCACGCAGCCCCTCCCCACCCTCCCCACCAAGCCCCTCCCCACCCTCCCACCCAGCCCCTCCCCACCCAGCCCTCCCCACCCAGCCCCTCCCCAACCTCCCCTCTCCACCCAGTCCCACCCCTCCCATTTTTGGATGCACGACGGACGGACACATTAATCCCCTGTGGGCTGGTGTAACCAGGAGGTTCCTACCAGTATAAACATAGTACATAAAGTAAAGATGAGACCAACACAATAAAACTGTGGCTGTCTGGAATGCTCTTCCGATATTAGGAAGCCACTGGAGCTTTGCACTTTTAAGTCTATATTGAAAACTAATTTTTTTAAGAACTGATTTTTTCGTGTTAAGTTTGTCGTCCTTCCCCCACACCTCCGATTAGCACGGTTGGCTAAACACAGTGTGAAATAAGTTCAACGTACATACATTCAAGTGAAATGAACAGTACAGTACATACGAGACGGTAAATGAGATTCTATAATGCAATCGTAACCCTGAATTGTGAAAATCCATCCAATCATAGGGAGGGAGCGGGAGTTATTCTTCCTTTCTGTGTTCAGCGTCACTTCCATACATGAGCACCACAACCAGAGACTGAGCCAATGAGCCTCGCATACCAAAAGCCCTCGGGTGATCCCTCGGAGTATGGCAGACATGACACCTATCGCAAGTCTCACCTCCTTTAGCGCATGATTAGGCGAATTGTCATCGTTCGAGGTCACGATTCAACTGTTTTTTTTCGTCTCATTTTAACTGTATCCACGTCTCAATTACACTGCCCAAGCCGTGTTGTTTGTACTGCTGTTGTTTGTACCATTATGTTGTTAGTCCCATTCGTTCTGTTTAATTATGAACAGAGCATTTGCATATAGCTTGCATAATTTGAGATTTATTCTCGGCAAACTTGATAACCCACACAACCTCATTGTCCAGAAAGTGCCCTTTTTTGAGAGTATGCAGATTGTTTGGCTATAGACTTTTTACAGCACACCCCCCGCCCTCCGCATTTGCAGACGATTGATTCGTATGCCCTCTTATTTAGTTTATACATAATGAGCGTAATCATTCTAATTGATACATTTATTATTTGATACATTGGTTGGTAGACAAGTGAACAGTATCGATTAAAACATCGATTTTTGTTTTGCTTTAGGAAGGCCGCTTAGAATGCAGTTGTCTATTTTGAGCCTCCTCCGTCTCCAGGCGGAGTTTTTATTTGAGCCTCGGAAGCCACACATGTTGTCTTTAAAAATAAGAGGATGTGCATGGGTGGGTTTATTTTAACGCAGGGTTTATATACACTAATTAAAGTGCTCCACCAACAAAAACAACGTAATGTAATTGTGGGAAGGGGTTATGTTTTAAAAGTGTTCCTTAATGCTGATTCGTGGCATGTATATTTTATTGCTTTTGCAAATGTCATTTGTATATATTTACGCAGTATTTAATGCATATTTACAGATCATATTGAATGTGCTTGATCTCATCAGATCTCAGAAGCTAAGCAGGGTTAGTAGTTGAATGGGTGACCATCATGCACAGGTTGTCATAGGGCTGCGGAACTACGTTGTGAGCAGCAGAGGGCAGTGCATAAAAACGCCTTTTGCCATGCTTTTATATTCCCACATCGATGTTACCCCACCTTCACCAACCTATCCTAACCAGCGTAATGAGGTATGGTAAAATAACCCATCTGACCCACACGGCATCGGGAGGTCCTCACCCAGCAAAGGATTGACAAAAGGGTTGTACATGTACATTGTCTAATACAAGTTCGGTGAGTAGCCACATAACCACTGGCAGTCTCATAATTGCTTTGCAGTATTGTAGTTTACACACAAATAGGCTATCCTTGAGTTTGGAAGTTTTGGAAGTCGCATTTATTTTATGTCCATATCTTTGCCTTTACTGCCGTAAATATATTCACCAGCAAAATGTTTTGGACACGTTTTTGTTGCCCCCACCACTAGAGGGCAAGAGATTTATAAACGCTGCTCTCAAAGCCTGGGCTTTTTGAGAAAAAAATATATTCCGCTGAAATCGAGACCCACAAAACACAGTGGTTTGTCAAGGTACTCAAGTAAACAAGCTGTAAAGTCTCACAGAGAAGGCCACATTTTTGCATTTTTTGGCTTAAATGTGTAAAACGGTCAACACCTTCACTCTCGGAATTCCAGCATTGCCAAAACTTTCTTGCCAAATACTCGCCGCATCCAGCACAGCCCATGGGTTTGTCAGATCTGTCAAGAAAACCGACAGTGAAACGTAACTGAACCAACGAAATAGGAATGAAAAATTACACCGTTGTTCTTTCATCGGGGGAAACATTGAGGCGCATACTTTAGGCCAAAAAAAACCCCCACATAGACTTTTTAATTGTACATTTTTCAAACGTGACTTTGTTCATATGATCAACGCTCTGTTTTCCAGAGGAAGCCTAAAAGCTGCATCCCGTGATTACGATCTGCAGCGCTGCACTTATTGTGAAAGGGCCTCCCTGCCGCTTCTCGCATTCCACCTCCCCCAAAAAGAAGGGGATGATGAATGATGTCACGAAAGTTATGACATAGAAACGGCTGCCGCTGAAAGCAGCTCGGTCTTCTAATGAATGCTTTACAGTCGTTCGGAATGGCCCGTTGGTAAAGGCAATACTGAACCTCCGGCCAGCCTCCCTGGGGGCTCGGTCTTTTGGGTGTTTCTTTGCACGCGCGGTGGCCGCCTGTGAAAATAAACGAAGCTTGCAGGAAGCTTAGTTGCCGGTTGTCTGTAATTTTCTCCGATACCCTGGTATAAACGGCCGGCGCAGGACGGAGGGATTGCAGATGACGTGCGATGTTTCCCCAAAACGCTTGACTTAATCCTTTCGCAGCCTCCAGTGATGAACAGTCAAGACGACCAAAGTCAATGAGCCAATAAAAGAGCGGCTCAAAATCCTTATGCGGATATCCCAGCGCTGAAACGCCAAAAAACCTATTTCAGACCACGCATATATTCACTGTATTATGGTGTGATTTATTTAACTGGGTAAAAATAAACTCCGGTTGTGAACTGCAATAGCATGACAAACAAACCTTTCCTCGGTACGTCCATTCAATTGGCGAAGTTGACACGGGGGCTTTTTTGTGATTGTCTTTTACGTTTTAAAAATTGCTTTGAATTGCCATTTTAAAAGGGGGATGCAGTCCTGCCAGCTTATCGCGCAGCCAGTCATTGTGACGGACGTGATTATTGGGCGCCGCGGTGGCGAGATGTTAACTCCCTCGTCTGATATGCAGGAGGTTGTGGGTTCAATTCCAACCCTGACGCCTGTGTATTTGGAGTTTGCATCTCTGTTCCCGTGGTCATGTGGATTTTCCTCCGGGTCCTCCAGTTTTTCCCTCCACATCCAAAAACATGCATTTAGAGTATTTGGCTGCTACAAATCTCCACATGATAAGCCACTTTGTTGAGCTATCATTTGTGGCCAGGTTCCTTCAGAAAAATAGCTACATAGCTCAGTGGGTCTTATCTGGTAAAATACATTTTTTTTTTTTAGTTTAGATGTGCTTTCGTCGTGGTTTAAATGCACGGTCAGTTGTATCGTGCTCTCGGTTCCGTTGTTTTATCCTCGGTCGCTTTATCTCGACTAGATCTCCCATCGAGGTAGATTTCAGCGGCAGTGCTGGAGCCGGCTCGCCTGCGTCTGCTCTGCGGGAAGACCGTTGCGCATATAGATTGTGCTGATTACTTCAACGCAGGGTTTTCTTTCCTTCTCGTCATGTGTTTATCACAGCAGCTGTTTCCGTAGATGTGCTCAGATTGCGAGCAGGTCACGAGGGAATATCGCAATCTTGAAATGAACGTATGTAGATCAGTTTCTCGACAGGAGCATCTTGTCTTTTTTTACGAGAGAAAATCGAGGATTCATTGCATTACACTGTGTATCACAGGTTAGGTGTAACAATATTGTATGTGCTTAAAAATATATTAAACTTAATATATTAGTGGCTGGTGAAGGGTGGCGACCCAGGACCAGGGTTTTTAGCTATGGCTGGGAATCAAACTCATGGTGCAGTGCGCTAATAAATTGTATAAGAGTTCTTCAGCCATTTTCACGATGGGCCACGTGTGTAATGCATTAAACGCTTGTCGTTGAAGTCTTTCCAAACTAAAACCACGATGTTTATTTTGCAGATCGAAACCCGCAATTCAAGCCCAAGAGTCTGGGAAAGGCCTGGACGAAGTAAGTTCTACATGTCGCTGTAAAATCTTGATACAAACACATTAATTCAGCACAGTTCTGATAGAAGCAATGCTTCCTTTTACATTGCACCCTTAGGGGGAAGAGAGAGGGCAAATTCAGATATAAGCACAGCACCTTGGATATCATCACACCTGGCGAGTCCAATAGGGTATACATATTCTTCTACTGTACTAAATGCACGTGTAATGATGTATCAATCAATCAATTTAATATATTTTTATTCTCACAATGTATGCATCAAATAATGTTGCATTGTAATCAGTTATTTACATTCCAGTTTAACACGTAGGCTTTCGCGACCAATATTATTCATAATAAAGGTTTTTGGGTTAGATCGCGTTATTTATAAATGTGTCGTAACCCCCCTACCACCCGACACGGCCAATCAGCAAAAAAAAAGTATCACGTTGACAAAAGACAAATAATTCACTACTTTAGCCCACCGGTGTGTTGAAGAGTGAATCCACAACATTTACAGTTTGAGTACGACGTTTCGCTGGTAAATACATCCAGCATCATCGGGCAATTCGCCAGAATGGTAAAGCCCTCGCTTGCTTTGTTGTGGATTCACTCTTCAACACACCGGTGGGCTAAAGTAGTGAATTATTTGTCTTTTGTCAACGTGACACTTTTTTTTTTGCTGATTGGCCGTGTCGGGTGGTGGAGGGTTACGACACATTTATAAATAACGCGATCTAACCCAAAAACCTTTATTATGAATATTTACATTCCGTGCAAATGATTGTAAATGCTAAGTGAATGTTACATTTAGGATAACGGAGCAAACACAACTGTACAAAAGAGGCAGGAAAAATGAGAAATAACGTAAAGAAGGTGGCAAAAAATGAACACGCGAACATAATAGATTTTTTTGGATAATTTTGACAATGAATTGTGACATCAATTAGTTGCAAGCCTTAACAGACTTTTGGGGCAAATGCCGTTAACGAGCACGGCACACAAGAGGGTGGGTGGCCAGCACCAAGCCTGGCCGCCGTTGTCTCCCCATTGGCAATGTTTACACACTGCAACAGGTACTCATTTGATGCTGAGCTGACCTAGGGGAGGCCCAGGGCCAGTTCAGAGAATCCTCACTGGTATCGACTGTGAGTGGGAATCCAACTTGGGTCGCCGGGTTTGTAGCGCAGCACGCTAACTTGTTACACAACCGCTCCCCAACCACACTGATGCACAAACACACACACGCACGAGCTGAGCGGAGAGCTGGCCAAGAGCGGGACCCGTCTTGCAATTCATTGTCCGTTTTTTTTTTTAAGCCGAAATTTTTAATGGGAGGGAAAACTGGCACGTCGTTTAAAAAGCATTATTTTCTCACGTTTGGCAGCGGAGTTGCAGCATGTGTCCTTGTGCTTCATGGGCCGGCTTGGCACCACGCATTGTCCGCTGAATCATACGAATCCCAGGAAACCTTTAGACAATTTATGAGAATGGGTTTTCGTTTACTGAAATGTGCAGTTGTGATTAATGCTTATTAAGAGTGAAAAAATCCACCCGTTCGAGTTCACAAACGCTTGTAAACAAACGCACATGTGCCCGTTTGCGCTTCGCCAGAGCGAGCATTCAAATAACCCTTGAAACTCCACCCACTCCTGTGGTTTATGTTTTGCGTCTTCAACAAAAAAAACTGTGCTCATTTTAATAGGAATGCGCTCATCTGCACGCATGCAACAAACATTTGTGGTGGGGCGGGTGGGCGGGTGGGGGAGGTGGTCTTGCGTGGCACACATTCAATTTGAGCAAAACGAGAAATGTCGGAACGATCAAAAAGCTCCGTTCGTCCATCCCAGAGGGCAGGAGATGCCGGGTAACTCCCTATCCGCTTTGAAAGGGAAGCTGTTTACGGGCACTGGGAACATTCATGCTCGCACTTGCAGGCTCGCACAACGGAATTGGACAGAGTGATTGGCGAGCACGCGTCGCCGGCCCTCACCTCCCCCAACACTGCACCGCCAGACGTGTGAAGGACGCGACTGCGTTTCATCAGCCAGGAAGATGGCGTGGGTGTGCACCGATCAACTTTGAAGTGGTTGAACGTGCACCTCGCCTTGTTTTTGCCCCCAAGTGCGTGAAACGCCCTCGCAATAAGGGGGCAGTTTGTCAGGAATATAACGCAATTCAAAGGTACATTACAAACGCAGCCCCGATGTCAATCGCTGCTGGGTGAGGGCTTCTCCGAGTTTGGGCTGTGGCGGTTATTTGACCATACTTCACCAAGCTGGTCGGTGCTTGTTGGTGAAGGAAAAGGGCATAGATGCGGGAAGTACAGTACAAGAATGAGGTTTGTTACATCATGGGACTTAGTTTTGCCAGTGTTAAAGTATGACAAATGAGAATCGGTGTTACCCTTTTTTAGAAATGACAGGGTTTGTCACACTTCCCACAGCGTAGCCCCCAGAGTAGCCTACAAGAGCCTCTTATAGGCTTATAGCAGTGATTGCCCATCCAAGTGCTAACCAGGCTCAGACCTGCTTAACTTCCGAGATCTGACAAGATGGGCGGCATTTCTAGATGACTTGGTAATAAGCCTAATTGTGCATGATATACTTATATTCTTTAAGCACACCCAGCAAAGGGGAAATTCGGCATTGTCCAGCGGTGACGCTAAATTGCGTTCGTCATGCAGATGCTCCATGAGCGCAAGTGTTAAATAAATCCAACTTGAATGAGTCGGGGCATCCCGCTGGGTAGCGGTGTCACTGTGGCTCATCCGGGAAGAAACGATCCAGTCCACGTTGCGCCAATGCACCACGGCTGGCGAAGCCGGCTCGTGCCACTTTAACGGTGCCCCCCCCCCCGGGGCCCCATCCCACTGCGTGTGCGCGTGTGAGCTCGTACACAAGCGTGGGGAGATCTTGCGACACTGCGCCCTGTTAGGTCGCCACCTGTTGAGGGGACATTAACAAAACCTGTGTCAGATCGCCGATGACTGGCACTCGGGAGTGCTTCTTTGCCCGTGCGACGTGACAAGTTGTTGACGGTGTGAAGGCCGGTCTTAACTCACGTGGTGCCCTGGGCGGATGCAAATTGTGGTGCCCGTAGGGGACCCCGGTGGAAGGGTGGTTTGGCGGGAGAATGGGCAAGTCTGTGGCCGGGTTTTTGTCCCTCTGTGCATCTCCTTTTCTCCGTGGCTGTATTCCTCTGTGTCTCTATTTGGTTCAACGGGCATCATCTATCGTGTCTCTCGTCTCATTCATTTTCAGTACTCCTTGCGGCTTTATGCCAAGGGTGGCCACGCTTATCGCCCACCTCCGAGGTCAGGCATTGGAAGTAGTGGTGCACGGCAATAATCTATTACTTTATTTAAAATCGAGTCTTGTGTCCATGTTATCTGTGTAGAATCATGTGGGTAATAGTAAATTGTTATTAATTTGCATACCTTTTAGGCATTGGGTTCAAGTAACCCCGACTGCCATTGGAGGTCCCACATTTCCTGCAGTAGAAATGAAATAATCGATTTGTGATTATTCATCGCAAGGAAGTCAAATTGTAACAGGCTTTATAGTACAGTACACATACAATACAAGATATAGCATTTGTTTCATCCTTTTGCTTGCTTTCAAACGGTTTAGTTAGCTACCCATAACTGCGACGGAGAGTCTTCTGAAGCTCACTTGTGCTTGAATGCACGTGTTCAGCGTCCGCTGAGCCATTGTCGCGGCGATTAGCACACTGCGCGACAGTGTCGGTGACCTGAGCTAGATTCCCGGCCGTGGCCAACATCAGTGGCAAGCAGTGTCTGAACTTGTCCCTGTGTCTTTGGTGTGGTTCGCAAACGTCGGTACTGAGGAGACGAAATGGCCATGCATGGCACCCACTCCTTCGTTACCGACTCTGCAATGCTGGCCTTAAAGGTGCTGCTCACTAATGGCACTTGCCCCAACAGTGTAATAAAATTACACGGCGGGGTGGGGGGGGGGTGTCTCTGTATGTGTGTTCGGCATGCACTATTGCTGCTGGGTGTAAAGTACTATATTTGCCAATTTTTTTTTTTTAAAAGATGCTTCGAATACATGCAGCACATATGCACCAACATGAGTATGTGTGTACTGTATATATATGCATACAGCTGAGGCATTATGAACTGGTGCGTGTGAATGGCGTGAGTCAAGCTTGCACAGCCTAAATCCCACAGTGCTGCATTCACTTGCCAAATGTTGTGTGAAAAAAGATTAATGTGAAGCACATGAGCACCTGGCCAAACAATAGGACTGACAGAGGAAATGACAGGTGAAATGCCTTATTGCCTTATCCGGTATCAATCTGTCCAGCAGTTTAACTCAATCTGTCCAACACCAGTGAAATCAGGTGGGAAATGGTTTGACATGAGTAGAAATGTACAGTTAATAATGTCAGATTACTTTGATTTGCAGCAACGTTTTTTTTTGTGTCGTGTTCTTGCAGTGATTTAAGGCACTTGCTGACAACCCTCTTACAGACGCTGCCCTCTGACGCCACTCTTGAGATGTGAGCGCCAACGACACTCGCACATTGCTTCATCTGCCAGGTGTGGCAGCTGAAACAATGGGGCAAGTTTCTTCAGCCTACCCGCTCCTCTCCACCTATTACCTCCGATGAGCGCGGTTGCCTACGTACGGTGCGAAAGAAGTTCAACGTACACCACAGTTAGTCATTCGCTGGGTTACGTGTGGTGAAATATGAGTACACTCGCCTCTTCCAAGGCAGCTGAAACGCATGGAAGAGTAGGCCAAAACACCCCTCCCCTAGAGGGACTCTCTAGAGCTCCCTCTAGTGGAGGTGCTTCCACCTGCACTGGCATGAGCAAGCAATGTCAGGGGTGCAACTTTACCTTGACTTTTAGTCCCAGCCAAATGGATAAAGGGATGCACATAGGCGGGTGTGGTGGGCAAATCTCGCGCCCTGAAGGTAGCAAGCAACTCACTGTTATAAATATATATTTAATAAAGGTACCCAAACGATTAAAGAGTCTCTTCGTCAAA